CATGTGGTAAAGTAATTGCTTTATATCCTTCCATGTTTTCCAATTGATCGAAACGTCAAACTTTTCAAGAAAACAATAAAAGCTTTTGACTTGGATCAATTTGCAATCAATCCTTTCATACGGAATATAGGAATAGGCAATTTAGAAAATTAAGTTAAAATTTAGAAAATTAGAAAAACAAGTTAAATTAGTAATTACTAGAGAAAACGCCTTCTCTCCATCCTATACGTAGGTGTTTTAAATATTAAATCCTTCATACGAATTTAAGCCGGAAGATTTAAGTCCACCTTTATACGGCCGAAGTTTAAAATGTTAATTTGAAAATGTGATTACGAATTGTAGAAAACGTTTATCGTCCAAACAGTAACATATTTATACTGAACGGGATTTTGATCATTGCATAATTATTTTTCCTAATCCTAAAAAAATTGCAACTGGTTTTCAAAGCTTACTCAGTAAACCATAGGTCCTTATCAAGCTTTTGGTAATTTTGCTCGTTTCTTCAAATCATAAGCTGCTTACATTTTGCACATTTCAAAACATTAGAAAAATCATATATGAATCAATGTACTGTTAATTTGTTGCACTGATTTTTAATAGTCAATCATTAACCCTACATACAGACAAATTATTTATGGTTATCAAATCAACATTTGTCGACGTAATATGCACCCTATATATTACAAATTACTGGGGCCTTTTTCGTCAGAGCAGTTTTATCAACGTTCTTCAGTGATGGTTTCAATTGTAAAATATTCTGAATTCCTGATTATTAATCATAACTTAATATCAAAATGTTTATTATAATTAAAGCCAGTTATGTTAATTCTTTAATTTCAGATGATTGTTACATATTTCAAACCGACTATCTACTATTGTACTGCTCGAATATGGCTTAGAGAAATTGGTTTTTCCTTGACTTACGGAGCATTAATGCTGAAAACTTGGAGGTAAGTTTGTAGCACTTTACGCTTGTAAGCTCCTACTTGCGATAATCGGATTAGTCATCGTATATTAGCACGTTTTCAGTAGGAGGGCCACAAAATATTTCATGAAGAGTTGTGAAATATTAAATTTCGGTTTCAGCTTGTGAGATTGAAAAGCGGCACAATTTGAATGTTCCTTTTCATGTGCTGTTGCACATAATTAATGTTTGTTTGTCTGTTTGTGGAAATGCGCTTGCAAAATGTTTAGTTCACCCGACTGGATCAACTGACAATTGATATCATCGATATATCCCAGCTAAATCTTGATTAATATATCACAGACACGTTAGGTTCCCCTTTCATTTTAGCGTCGTAATATGTTTTACTGAAAAGTGGCAGACTTTTGCAACAAAAGAAATGAACCGAGGAGATAATGGGATGTAATCTTATTCTTTAGGGTTGTGTAAATAATGACTTTATAAGAAAGGCCGCAGAGCAAAAACGAAAGAAATGTTTCCCACGCTGAAAAAAGTCTCTTTAAAGACGGATTTTTAGTGCAAAACATATCCGATAACATGTCTGTTATACTGAAGACAACCGTACTACAAACGCTTAATTATCTTACTTAAAAGTAGCTGCACGGCTTATTAAAAACATATTCGTTATCGCTCTGAAATGTAATAAAAAATCAAAAATGGGGTTAAAATGGTGAAACAACATTAACTGACATGGGCGTTATATGCTCGTATGTAGGTAGTAAGGGGACTTTTTCTGTATTCAAATGTGGCTCTTACTCTTCTTAAGTATATTGAATAAACCGCTCTATGAAATTGAAAACCATTCTATTAGGTATCAGCCTTACATTTCTATCGCTTGAGCAGTGAATGTATTAAGAATTTTTCTGTTGCCCACTTTAATCCAATAAACGTTTACGACATTACATATACCATACCGTGTTTTTATAGGACTGAAATGTCAAATAAAAGCACCATTATCTGACTCCCCTGCTATATTAAAATTGAAATTTTCTATAGCTTTTCTGGGCATTTACAATTTTCTTTTTTTAGGATATCGGTTATTTTTCGGGTAAGATCAGCAAAGGCTATAAAGATCACTGATGTGAACCTTCTGAAGAGACTTGGGATTATATTAGCATTTTTTACTGCTTTACTGACCATTCGCACTCTGGTGGCTCCTCCTATTGTTATTGTTGGCAGAACCGAAGATGATTTGAAGGCATACTTGTGCCGAACCGACTTATGGGACAACTTCTTCAGTGTTGGTAAGTAAATAACTATTCGTTTTTTTATGGAACTGAAATGAAAACGCACAGGTTTAGGCAGAAAATTTTGCTATGCTCAATCAGGGATGTATGCTCTGGTGCTCAATCACACTTGAGAGAAAAATTAAGATTTATTCTCAAATATATGCCAGTTTAAAAGCTTTGTAGGCTCAAATAAGTATGAATTATATAATACCTCATATAATATTTATTAGCATATTGCAAAATCACGTGGGTTTCCCAAAATTAAAATAAATGTTCATAATAGTTCCGAAGCGTGCGTACACCAATATGCTAATTACAATTTCACATTTGCCAAAGCCTATTAATAACGGAGGACTACCGAGTTATCCATCATCTAGGTCGCAGAATTATCGGAACCTAAATGTACTTGCCTCTATATGTTCTAGGAAATCTGTATTATAACTGATTAAAGCTCCATTGTCTATAAAAAAAACTGACCTCCAACTAATTAATATAGAAAATAATATTCGAAATTTACCCGTATTAAATCAGAAAAGAGTCTCCATTAATATTGAATATTTCTATGGAATATTGGCATATAGATTTTCAATGTGATCCCTACCCTAATAAATTCTAGTCAATATTGGCAATATTTATTAGTATTATTCCATTAATTCAGTGACATTAACTAAATAGAGTTTCTCTGCATGTTCATATTTACATTAATTGCAACAAACCACAAAATTAGAATTTGGTGTTTACTTGATTAATCCAATACATTTGGAAAAATGTTCAAGTCCAATGACAGCTATTAGCAAAACAATGTGTATCTGCAATAACTTAGCAAAAACCGAACGTGCTAAATTAATTACTGTTGAAACTAATTTGAAAGCGAAAGAAGTTCTTTCTTTCTGCACTATTTACACTTTTTATTTATTTTTTGAGGGCAAAATTCCGTGAACCCAATCTCGAAATCCAAAATATGTAGCTGATTATGATCTTTTGTTAATGGTGAGATCAGATTGAATTTCATATGAAACTGATCTGAACTGGTCTTTTAAAAATTCCTGATTAATCCAGCTTTTCATCTATTTTTTCAAACCCTTGTCTATTTTGTACAGAGATGGCAACTCTATATGAATGCGCATTGCCGCTATGGAACTGCCTTGGGCTATTCCGTAAACAAAATGTATTTCAGCAATTTCTGTTTTTCAAATGGACCTATTTTAAACGTCCGAGTGCAATTAAAAATGAATGACTGTCCAAATTACCCCCAACATAAAATTTTTCGACTACTCATTTGATGCCTGATTAAATAAAACAATCTGTTTAGAGTAACGAAGTATTAATCTTTATAACAAAAGCTATCATAGATTCGTACCTATTCTATAACTGACTAATACTTTCTTTGTTTTAGTATTAGTTTACCATTAGTCAAATGGTAATGTCATAATGTTCGTTCGAAAATCTGCTATGGATCCTGAAACATGGACTAAGCGATACCCTATGAAACGAATGGTTTGTTATTAACACGTATAAAAGTAACAAGTATAAGTTTTACTAATTTGTCTAGCAAATCATCGAAGCACGTGTATTTGGTGCTGTAACAATGTCTTCGATTTAAAAAGTCTTCTTGCGTCTAACAATGATTTCGATTTGCATCAAATTAGAGACGCAATTATTCACAGTGGAAGTAAAATTTACAATTATTTATATTGTGGATTTTAAATCGTTTTTTGTTTTAATTTAGTCGTTTACTAAGAAGCTGTTTCAATTGACATGATAATAAAGAGCGAATTGGCAAAATGAAAATTGACATTGCAAAGTGAGTTAACGCATAAAGTATCTACAACCCGTAATAAATTAAGCCGGGTAGATCCAAAATAGTAAAATATTCGCAAACAGTGAAATACCGAGAGCCACCTAAGGGTCTTTAAAATTTAAACTAAATGTTCGTTAAAGATTAGCATTCGAAATTATTCTGTGTGAGACCGTGCTTTATGCTTTACCTGAATGAGAAATAAAGAGAAGTTAGCTAATCTACGTATTATGTATGGACCATAATATATGAAATAATGGCGAATATTGGACATCCGACATTATAGCATGAATACAAACGCTATTTTATGCGAGTGCTCAATATTTGACGGACTAAAAAGATATATTTATTCATTGAGCAAATGCAGGCATGTTAAATATAACAGATATCACAAAATGATGAACATCCGCTTAAATAAACATTCAAAAATATGTATAGCCTTTGTTTAAACGCATACTATTAAACCTCACGTGCAATTAGAAGTCTTTGAAAGTCCAGCAATTACATGAATGTACCTTGTAGAATGTGCCTCGGTCTCGGAATCACATAATTCGTAGTCCTTTGACTCGCATATCAATTATTCAAATGGTTCCCTTGTCACTCTAAACACGCCAATCTACGCGTACATTAATGTTTCTGTCCATTCCATTGAACAACCTCAATATTTGAAGCAATATCAAGTGCATTTTGCTAAGTGATTTTAGTAAAATTCTAGTAATTTATCTAATTTCGAACCCTATCGAGAATAAATAAAACATTTCCAGCAAATATAAAATATCTTCGAATTAATTCCTCGGCGTTGGCGCAAAAGTCGAAAGATTACCTACAGACAAGGGTCAAACATTTGCCACAGATGTGATTATTCCCTTTAATAGGCGCAACATGCACTATTTCACCGCTCACTGTATTAAGCTCAATCACAAGAGCAATTTTCCACTTGCACAATGGAACTTTATTTACTCTTTGTTTGAATTTTACTATCCATTTGATCAAAACCTAAGATCGTTATAGCTTTCTTGGCATAAATATTTTAATACTTATAGGTCCCTACTGAATGAGACGATTAAATCGAATTGTGACCGATATAATATGTATGATATACCAACAGTTTAAGCGTTTTACAGATTTACTGAGTCGGATCTCATATCTCATATCGCGGAACGCTCACAATAGCTAGGTGTCTTTTGCTCTGAAAAATTATGAAAGTTTTATATTTATCTCGTTGTTTCTAGTCATATTTTCACAGGTTCATATGTGATTTTTTCTTGTTGTGCTTTCTAAAACTGACACCAAGTCTTTTAGCGTAATATAACAGCTGCGAAACGCATATGTCAAAGTGTGCACCTCAAAAATTTTATTCTTTGATATCAGTACAGAATATATAATAAAAAAGAAATGGAAAAATTTTTAACAAAAGTTAAAACAATTTACATGTTGATTTTCTAAATATAAGAATAAGAGGGAACAGAATTATTTTTCACTAAAGTGCAATTGACGGAGAGAATATTTCAAGTATATGATTGTCTATAAAATATATTACACATTCAATTACCTGAATCGACTGGAATAAAACATGTAACTACCAATCCGAGAAAATTGTTAAATAAAATTAAATCCAACGATTGCAAGCGGAATGTGATAAATTTGCTATTTTCTCTCTAAATTGGATGACCAAACGAGAAACTGTGAATCAATGTTCCAATAAGCGTAAGTTTTTCGTTTGACATAGTTTCAAGCTTTATTGTTCAACAAGGAGGAAATTTTACAATATAATTGTAATTATTGCAAAACGAACGTAAAATTTAGTTTTACACTAAAATTTCAACACTTCTGTTGTTTTTGCGGCCTATTATTAGTATTAGGTAAGATTTAGCCAATAATAAAACTCTGCAATTTAGACTACGCTAACTTGACTTTAGCTACCATTAGAACAACATTAGGGCGTTTTTACCTAAACTTGACCTGATCCGCGAATGATGCATGAAAAACGCGAAACTGCGGTTTAAAGCTCATTCCCACGAAAACTTAAGTAATTTCTATGCATCTTGAAGGCGTTAAGTGTACCAAGTAGTAAATCAATTTGCTCCATCAACTTTGAAACTGAATTTTGGTGTTAACGAATTGAATTTACGTTTATAGTAAAATGCCAGCTTATTTGCTATCTGAAATCAATACTTTACACACTCTAAGGAAAGGTCTTTAACTGAGCACGTAGCGGCTGCATTGTTATATGGCGTAAATCCGATAAATGAAAAATTGTACAACGGAATTCAGACGGATCGAAACTTCATTTTATACAAAAAACTGCAAACAAAAACATGACACTCAAACAGTTCACTTGATATATTGACACGTGCGCAAAACAGACATATTTTGGTTGAACAAAAGGTTGAAGAATAAAAGATTATTTGAAAATGCTATATTCATGATCTAGAATTTCATCAGAAGAATCACCTAAATATATTTTCAGACTAGATATCAAGTGATTTAAAAATATGAGGTCAGTATAGATTTTAAATGAGACACTAAAACTGTACTTTCTAATTAAGCGGCAAAATGGCTGCTAGTTGTATCTAGAATGGAGAAACAATGTGGACGTAAACGTCCAGCCAGGCATTGGAATTTAGATTAAAACATAACAAAAGATCGGAAAAGAAATAAAATGGCACGCTTCTAACAACTTCAGCGTACCGTTTATTGTTATTTTTTCTTTGATTTAACGAACTGTAACTGTATAGTCCCAATTTATTCGACGTCGAACAGCAAAGTTCCCGATAAAGAACATTATCGAATTCAGATTGTATTAAACTTTAAATCGGAGTGCACATGCAAATTGGATATAGCGTTACTAGCCTATATCCAATATACATAAAAATAAAACTTTCAATAAGTTTCGGTAGAACTTCACAAGTCTAAATATTACTGTCATTAGGTGTGTAATTTTACCTGGAAAGTCGTAACCATTATGCAATTAATCAGTAACAGTTAAATGTTGCGGACCAAAGTTTACAGTCTGGTAAAAACGCAGCATTTCCGGGATAATCCTTTAGCAGATGTTGAAATTTGCTACTGCAGTAGAAAAACTAATCATTTTGATATTAAACGTTGAAAATAACTGCTGAAACCAGTACAAAGCTTGAGCGCACTGGAAACCAATTTCCCAGAAATGGTCAGCGATGATATAGGGCAAGGGCGTATAGTAAAGGATGTAATGGGG